TATGTATGTGTTAGGTAATGATTGTAATGTCCCAGGGGTAAAAAAATTGGCAAAAAAACGCGTTGTTTTTTCGTTTTTAACGACCAAAACAACGCGTTAGATGTTTCAAACCCAACGCTTTTTTTTGTCGTTTAAACGTGTTTTTCTTTCTCTATTCGTTTGAAAGGCGTTTTTCGGAATTTCGTAACGCGTTACTTTTGCGTTAAAAACGTACAAAAAACGCATTTTCAAACGTTCTAGAACGCGTTTCAGATGAAACATTTAACGCGTTTTCTGATCATTAAAAACGGAATAAGAACGCGTGAGAACAGAAAATTTTGGTAAAGCCAAAGGTGAGACTTGGCTACCCAGTGGGATTTGATCTAAAAATATTTGAAAGTCTACAATAAAGGAAGTACAAAACTGATGATCTAAAACCGAAAAAGAAAAGATGATATTTCTTCGATATTTCGATTGTGCTTATATGCTTGGCTGACCGCAAAACAACACGGTGAATGCCCAGGGGTAAAAAAGTTACAAAAAAACGCGTTTTTTTCGTTTTTAACGATCATAAAACGCGTTAAATGTTTCAAAACCAACGCTGATAAAAACGCGTTTTTCGGAATTGGCAAACGATGGTTAAAAGAGCCGTTTAAACGCGTTTTTGTCGTCCCAGAAGTTTAGAATAACGCATTTTTCGATAACGCGTTTGCTAACGATCGTTAAATTAACCGTTTTCTGGCGTTTTTGTTGAACGCGTTTTCTAAAGACGTTAAAATGATATGACTTCGAATTTTTTTCTTTTTTATATAAAATAAACACGTTTTAACGGTCATTTTAACGTCGTTAAAAAACGCGCTCAACAAAAACGCCAGAAAACGGTTAATTTAACGATCGTTAGCAAACGCGTTATTCTAAACTTCTGAACGACAAAATCGCGTTTAAACAGCTCTTTTAACGATCATTCGCTAACGCGTTCGGAAAAAACGCGTTTTTCGTGCCGTTTTTAACGATTTCTTTTCGCCTGAGGTGACAGATAATGATCAGTATGAACCTAAAATATGATTGTTCTGCTTGTTGTGCTTCCTTGTGTTATAATCTTTTTGTAAATTATAAAGTGTACAAAGTCTAGGAAAAGGTCTCAATCATGAAGGAGCCAGATCATTGTATATATATATATATATATGTCGTACTCGTTATTATAAATAAAATAAAAAGAATCCATTGTTCGTTCTTAAATGCAGTTGCTGCATAAACGATACAAAGGAATGAGAAACAAGGAAAAACTCATTTAAAAGAGTCGATGAATCACGTTTCATGATCCTCACAAATAACGTGGCCCATGTACATACAATACATTTGTTTTCTTCTCATACAAACAGATACCGTAAGGTTTTATTCGGACAACTACGATATACCTCAGTATAATAGGAAACTTTCGTCGTTATCGTATAGCAAAAATGTCTAATTCTCTCTACTGAGTTCATAACATTTTTTCACGGAAAAAAACCCATAGCAGTGGTAAAACAGAAGTTACCTGTTTTTATAATAATATGGTATGGTAAAGTTGAGCAAAATTTAGTTGCTATTTTCTGAAAAGTTTTCTTAATAGATATTTTTATATATTTCTTGTCTAGTTATAATCGAAAATACGACAACAAAAACATATCGCATTCATAATCATCAAAATGTACAAAAATCATTTATGATGATTGTGTTTCAAATACTCAGTATTATAAAGAAAAAGAAAAGAATTATTCTTTCTTAAATGCAGTTGCTACAAAAGAACGAGTTTTTCCTTCTGTTTTTAGAGATAAAAATAAAGAATCGATGAGTCACGTTTCTTTCAATTTTTCTCGTCCAAAAACACGTGACTTCTATAGAAACGTGCCCTCCGTAGCCACGTGATCCATAGAAACAACATGTAATACATTTTTTCTCTTCTCATACAAACAGATATCGTAAGGTTTTTTCGGCCAACTACGATTTACCTGAGTATAGTAGGAAACTTTCGCCGTTATCGTGCAGCAAAAATGTTTAATTTTCTCTACTGAGTTCATAACATTTTTTCACGGAAAAAAACCCATAGCAGTGGTAAAACAGAAGTTACCTGTTTTTATAATAATATGGTATGGTAAAGTTGAGCAAAATTTAGTTGCTATTTTCTGAAAAGTTTTCTTAATAGATATTTTTATATATTTCTTGTCTAGTTATAATCGAAAATACGACAACAAAAACATATCGCATTCATAATCATCAAAATGTACAAAAATCATTTATGATGATTGTGTTTCAAATACTCAGTATTATAAAGAAAAAGAAAAGAATTATTCTTTCTTAAATGCAGTTGCTACAAAAGAACGAGTTTTTCCTTCTGTTTTTAGAGATAAAAATAAAGAATCGATGAGTCACGTTTCTTTCAATTTTTCTCGTCCAAAAACACGTGACTTCTATAGAAACGTGCCCTCCGTAGCCACGTGATCCATAGAAACAACATGTAATACATTTTTTCTCTTCTCATACAAACAGATATCGTAAGGTTTTTTCGGCCAACTACGATTTACCTGAGTATAGTAGGAAACTTTCGCCGTTATCGTGCAGCAAAAATGTTTAATTTTCTCTACTGAGTTCATAACATTTTTTCACGGAAAACCCATAGTAGTGATAGAGCAGAAGTTACTCTTTTACAATAATATGGTAACACTTAGCAAAATTCAGCTGTTATTTTCTGCAAAGTTTTCTTCTCAATAGATTTTTTCATATATCTGTTATCTATTGTGATAATCGAAAATACGATAACAAAAACATATCGCAATCGTAATCATCAAAATAATGGCTGTCAAAAATGATTTATGATGATTGTGTTTCAAATTTGTTAACACTTACCGATAATAGAAGTTGAACCTTTCTATTGTATATTCATATCTGATTGACAGAAAGACAACGCCCAAAAATTGCTAAGTTACAGTTTACGAATAGGTATCCACTTCAGAAAGGTGATCTAATTAATAAGATATAACTTAATCCCTGCAAGTTATTATCTTTAATTCAGAAATTGATATTTAACATCAATGAAAATATAGTCTTTCGCATGTATTCTCCTTCTAACCTGTTAATAAGATTGTTTAGACTTAGAAAGAACTATTTTTGTTTTTCCTTCTGTTTTTCTAATAAATGAAACTCTATTTTTAAAATATTTGACAAAAATCGTTCTTGATACCCGGTTTAGATAAAGAAAATGTTTATCTCGATCCATCAGGACTCTACATATGTAGGACATAATTAGGTGCAGTTAAAGAATCTATATAAAAAACCGAAAAAACTATTTTAAAGCTTCATTCTCATGCAGTTACCGAGCATATAAAAAAGAAATCCTACAATGTACGTCGTTAAAATCGTGATGATTATTTATATATACAATTATATCGTACAAATTTCCGTTGTATAAGAGAAATGTATAATTTTTTTTTTTAAATGTATATTCACCTAGGAATGTCCGCTTTTCTTGAAATTTTAAGAAGATGTTAGTCCTGTCAAGGACAGTTCACAGCAAACATTTTAGCCCTATATCTCATGGTTTTCCCGAGCTATTCTCAAAACAACAGTATTGCGCCGTGGCAAATTGTGGCCAAGGTACCATTTTATGATATTTTGAAACTAAAGGTTTTCCAAATATGTTCCAGTTGGAAAAAACTGAAGTTTTGCCTAAAAGTTGTCAGGTGCTTTTAAAATTTCGGAAAAACTTCAGTTTTTTCCAACTGAAACATAGTAGCTGACATCCTCTTAAAATTTCAAAAAAACAGGCATTCCTAGGCTGAAATGTAATTCTTCTGCCAAGAACATTTTTTTTCGATTTTTCCCCTGTAAAACCTTTTTAAGCTGTCGCTCTAGTAGTCACTTGAAGTACTGGTAGTGTGAAGACTCTTCACTGAAATGTCATATTTCTGTGATTTTTAGGATTAGTAATAACTGACACTAAAGAATTTTCGAACAACTTCGGTTTTCAAATAAGTTTCTGTAAAACGATAGCGATGCAATTTGCCCATATCTGCTTGAATTTTTGAAGTTTCATTGACTTGTTAACTGTTTTGATAAATAAATGCAGCGTTACTCGTGTTTAAAAAAATTGAGCACCGCCACCACAACTATTCTCATAGCTTTAATCCATGGATATTCATCTTTCCTGATAGACAACTTATTCCATTACAAAACTTAATGAGCAATCGGGCTAAGAAGATATGTGAAGCCCAAATCCATGAGAGTTCCAATCACACTGCGTTAATTCCTTCAACGATCCGTAATTAGAAACGAAAAAAAGAGCAACTGAATAAATTATTTGCGTTAGATCTAGTATAAAATATCAGAAATTAAACTACTACGGGAATGGATCCAACCATTTAGTGCCGTTTAGGGCCAAGTTCACTTGTTGACTACGTCACTAATCGGTAGTGTATTCATTCTATATTCGGCATATAATTCAATAATTTTTACAGAATATGCAGAAAATATCTCTAGTTTTCTTCTCTCACATGTCAAATGGAAAAAAGTCGGATGTTACATCACGTGCGTCACAGTTTTTTTCACATGTGGAAAATGTGCAGAACACAAATATAAAAAAAGATGTAGAAAAGAGCGAACAAAGTTTGCTAGAGATACGAACTGATATAGTCAATACGCACGAAAGAAAATGAATAGGTCATAGCATTTTACTCTCGAGTTTTGCCGTTATTACATCTAACATATTTTTTCATAGAAAAAAAACAGAAAGAAAAAAAGAAACTTGTCTCAATAAACACACTATTATCCTATTCTGTTTCTACTTCAGTAAAAGCAAAAGGAAAAAATTTAAAAGAACTCTTTTAAAAAAAATCTTTGTTTAATTGCTGACAGTATCATGTGTAGCAATGTTGATGATCAACAACGATACCTTTTGAAAAAATAAGAAAAATAAGCTATCGAAATTCTATTGAGAAGAAAATTGGGTTATTATATATCTGACACTACTATTTGTTCATACTTACTTCTCTTGTTAAATAGCTGGCGAATCGTGCTATAGTAAAAAATGCCATTAAAAATAATGTACCAAGCCGAGAGACCCAATCACGTGTTTTTGAAAATATTGTATGATATAAAAATCGACGCCAGTATGTATGAATACGTTTTAAAATAGTTAAAATAGCCTACAATTTAAAAAAGAAATAAAAAAAGAATATTTTACATATAAGTCAATTTAGAAAAATCTTTAATGAAATAAAGTACTTCTTTCTTTAAAAGTTACGTAAGAACATCGTAACACTTTGCAAACTTATAGAATAGAAAGAAATGTTGTACTGTTTAATCTATCTACTTAACGCTTACACAAACTAGGCTAAAGGATTTTTGCCTACATCAATAGACATATTAGTCGTACTAAAGAACATCAGTATTCATGTAAAAACGAATTTATAAAAAATTGTCTGGGGTTTCTAAAAAGGCGCAATAGGAAAACGTATTCAATACCTACTCTTTCTTTATAAATAGCTTTTTGGCAATTTGTTTGTGATACTTTTCGTGCCGACGATACTCTGAATCTATTTAAATCTTGTTTGTACGAGCTGTCATCCTCTTTGCTTGATGATTGTTCTTCTTTTATTACAATTGTAGTTGAAATATGTGTATTTTCATTTGTTGCTGTTTTATAATCGTCATGTTCATTTTTGTCTTCAAAATAAGAAGACATTTCACGTTTGAAAGATTAATTTGTTGATATTTCTTCTTATATTAAATAATTTAATGTGAAAAAGGAACTTGTACCCGTGAGCTGTTTATTTACCATAACATAAAGAAAAAATTCAACTATTAATCTCAATTATCATTAATTCTACTCCATTGTGCACCAAAAAAAAACAAGATATTATTTTTGAAGACAATACATTCAAATCACTCGTACACATACTAGTAATAATAATATGCATCAACTCTTTCTTTTCGATTTTTTGCTAGAAAAAGAAGGAAAAAAATATTATAAACTATATTTCTCTCATTTTTTTCTAGTAGTATTCTCTCTGTTCTATAAAGCACAATACGACGTAGACATCTTGAATTCATGTTCTTCTCTCGCTCGTCTGATTATTCTGCGGAGCAGTTTCTCAACGTTATGAGTATTTTAAAGATTTCTGTCCGATGTTTTTTTCCTTTATATGCACGAAGAGAAAGCTGTCTAGCGCCAATTAAATTGTTAAAATCATTTTAATATAAAGAAGACTGGAACTGAATGAACTGTACAGTAACAGTTGAAGAAAGATTATTTCTTATTCTCAGGGATAAAAATGTAGCAAGAGAATTCTAGGATTAAGAGGATGAAGATCTTTTTAATGGAAGACCGATTTTAGTTCGTCGTGGTGTCTCTGATTTTGCTGCATGTATTCCCTATGGTTTCAGTTCAACATAATGCAATCAGAGTCAATCATTCACCTCAGACTCATTTTAGTTCTACTTTAAAAAGGTTCAAGTATAAAAGTAGTCTACTTTTAAGAAATAAAATGGTTTATATATATACGTTTATGTCACGTGGAGCAACCTGTCCTTTTCTAACATTTTTCGTCAAACGAGGAAACATGCTTCCTATAACGTATCTATATATATGTTGTAGCGAAAACTGGAATTCGGTAAAATTCTAGGTCAATTCTACTGTTTATCTCTCAGCGAAGTTTATTTTTTAGTCAAAAAATAATTTTATGTTAATAAATACTGCTGGTATTGACATTGTCTGTGATAAAAAAAGTCTTAAGCCCGTTGTACTTTACGAATCATTTTTTCAAATCATTGGAGAATGCCACAGGAGAATATCCCATGGAGGAAGAGACAAAACATTAGAAGAAATTCAAGCGAGCTACGCTTGGATTTCTCATGTTTTTGTTGATATTTTTCCGAAACAATGTGTTGAATGTCAAACACGTAAAAGTATTAAAATACCTATTGTATCTAAAGCAATTATCTCTTTAGGAGTAATGACAAGAGTACAGATAGATTTGGTAGATATGCGAAGTCGTCCTGATGTCATTAGTGTTGATCTTATTTACAGGTGGATTTTGCACTGCAAAGACCACTTTTCAAAGTTCACATGGGCTTTTGCATTGAAAGCAAAATCCGCAGTAGTTGTTCTTCATTTACGAAAGATTGTTTTTTCATTTGGACCTTGTCGTATACTACATAGCGATAACGGCAAAGAATTCATTAACAGACTTGTCGTTGATTTAAAACATCTTTTTCCGGGTATGTTGATTGTTCATGGGCGTCCGCGTAATCCAAAGTGCCAAGGTTCAATAGAGCGTGCCAATGCAATTTTATGTTCAGCTATTGGAAAATGGATGTCATGCACAAAGTCAAATCATTGGTCAGATTCATTATTACCTGTAGTTTATGATATTAATACCAGAGAGTCTTGTGGTATAAAATGTACGCCTTATCAGATTATGTTTGGACAACATTCCCGTTCAAACTGTTTATTTTGGGACAGTCAGATTGATGGTGCTGTTGAACATGATGATCTTCTAAAAGAGGTTCCTGGTTTGTTACAGGATGATGATAATGAAGTTGTTGTTCATGATGAACACAATGATGTGAAGGATCCACAATTGGCTGTTGTTATGAATAAGTTCGATGTGACTACTGATAGTTCAGAAGCTGATGAAAAAAATTCAAATTTTGTCGTTGATACTGCTCCGAATACTTCTTTTAATAATACAGTTGCCATTTCAGACTCAGTTGCTAATTCAACATTTTTTACAAGTGAATCCGACGAAGGTGCTAGGTTTGTCCGAAGTGATTCAGTTGATTCTAAACATGTTGTTTATTGTCCAGCTTTAACAGGTAGTCCTATCCTATATTTTCTCGACATAGTGAAATTCGAAAATTTGCGACAGAAAATTACCTTAATGAGGCCACTAAACGCCAGAAATTATACGATTCTCATATGAAAAATTTGTCTTCTGTGTATAATGTTGGTGACTGCTTTGGGGTGCGAGTTAATAAAGTCGACCGTACCAATACGGATGCAAAAATTCTTCCGTGCATAATTTTATCCAAATGTCTGAAGAATTATTCTGATTGTTTTCAGTTGGCTTGTCAGTTTGGGAAACTCAGTTCTTCTTTTTCGATTGAAAGTCTTGTTGATATGCAATCTGTTGTTCCTGTTGAATTGCGTTCATTGGATGAGACGTTATTAGAAGAAATAACATTTATTCAAGCTTGCAGATATCTATCTCGTAATGCAGTGAATAATGCTACGTGTGATTGTAAAACTAAATGTTCGACTACCCACTGAAAAAAATAATCAAAATTCATGCCGGATCCCGCGGGTTATCGGTATTAAAATATCTGGCGATGTTTCTTACCTTTACGCAGGATTTTTATACTTCCAGCCCTGACAGAACCCTGCATAGTTTATGTAGGGTCAGCATGGAAAAAGGTAAGAAACATCGCAAGACTTTTTGACTTATTCAATCCACAAGTTTTTTCCTACGAGATCTGGCAGAATTTTGTTGGTTGAAAGAAAAAGGATTTTGTTCTCCATGTGTATCCTGCGGTATCCAGCAATCTTTTGTCACCAATGTCTGTCAGGATGATCGTGGAGAAAGTTGTCTGTATTTTATTTTTTTTGGAAAGTTAAGTACTTTTTTCTTATAAAGTTATAAAAAATTTTCTCGTATTCAATAAACTTCTAGAAAACGTATACCTTAATATTTTGACTTTAACACGCATTTTCATGTGTACAAAATCAAACTATTAATAGATAGCTAAAAAGATCTTTTTTGTGTCAGGAATATTCTATTTTTTTCCATCAATAAGACATTAAAGTCATTAGAATGATCACGCTACTGTGAAAAAACGATGAATAGCAAAGAAGAGATATCACACTATTCTAAATTTCTTCAGCTTTGAATGGTATCTTCTCGTTTCATCCCGTTTATTTTCTAGCATTCTATTCATTTTTTTCTATCAGCTGTAATTAATATTAACATAATTCATTAAGATAATGTAAGAAACTGATACATGGCTGATATATTCATACGTTGATACGTATCAATATGGACTAGTTCGTTTTTCTAAACCTGGATCAATAGCTATTTAATTTTAACGATGTCATTTTGTATATTCCATAATAGAATTTAACTGTTTAATGGAAAAGCTTTTGCAAAGAAACAATACTCATGAATGAAACAATGGTAAGGATCTGACGAAATGAGAGTCTGAAAGTTTACAACAATTGTGATAATAAATTGAAGGAGTATTTTACACGATATGAAAATGGTACTTTGCCTTGAATTGAACTTGCAATTAAATGTGGCAAATGTGTTAATACTTTAAAATTACCTGTTTCATTGTAACTCGTAAATAAAATAATAAATGTAACTTATCAAGCCATCTATCAATTTCTTACATCATCTTAATGAATTATACTAATATTGATTAGTATACAGTTGATAGAAAAAAAAATGAATAGAACGCTAGAAAATAAACGAAACGAAACAAGTATGGGACGAAATGAGAGTAATCCCTTTGAATACTCTGTTGAATGGTATATAATTTAAAAACTTCGGTAAAACATGGATAATTTACAGTTAAAAATATTAAGGTATACATTTCCGGAAGTTTATTCGACATGAGAAAAGCTTGTATGACTTTACAAGAAAAGATGCAGAAGTACTTAACTTGCCAAAAATAAAAAATACAGACAAGTTCCTCCACAGACATTGATGAGAAAAGATTCCAGAATGCCGCAAGATAGACATGGCGGACAAAATCCACAAGCTACAAGTTTTTATCATCATGAAAAAATCCTACAGACCTTGCAGGGTTTGCGTATTGAGATATCTTGTGTATTACAAGTGATAACCGGGAGGAAAAAATTTCGCAGGCTATGCAAAGTAAAGCATCTGCGAGATATATCGCATGAACGCATGTAAAAGTTCCTGCATGGTGCGCCTAGAGAAGAATCCTCGAGGATCCTCAAAAACTTGCAGTATATATCCAACATTCACAGGATTTTTTCAGATTCCTGTGTGTCAACGCAGGAATTCGTAAATTTTTTTTCAGTGGGTAATCGTTGCCCCTGTAAAAAAGCTAAGATAACCTGCTCAACAAAATGTCATATAAAAAATAAATCTTGTGCTAATAATAAAGAAAATTTTTAATTTAATTGCATCCTATTTGTTTTTTTGCGTATTTTATTGTTTGTAGGTATTTTCTGTTCTTTTATTCTTGTATGGCGATAAATAATGTACATTTTCGTGTGTTATTCTTGTTTTGTACAATATACTTTATGTAACACCAATACAGGGTTCAGTCCCGATTCGTTGACAAATTAAAGCCAATTAAGAGATTTTACTGTTTGGTCGACGCAATTTTTTTTTCGTTTCGTCGACACTTTAAAATTCCTATTTCGTCAACAAAATTTTATTCCTGTTTTGTCGACAATTTTTTTATCCTAAACCGTCGACCAAAGCTGGCAGTGTATAAAAGTAATTCCCTAAACGTCGACACAATTTTCTTATAGCAGAATTTATAAACTGAACAGTGCACTACACTGTCAAAAAAAAGTGTCTTGATAAACCACTCGA